AAAAAAATAATCATTGAATAAATGAGTAATAGTTACAGCAGGGGTGAGCAGCAGAGCTTGGGATAAAGAACTATTTGTGTTACCTTTCGCCTTTATTTTTTTTTCCTGGACTTATGGTGATATTGTTTATTATTTTAATAGATTTAGGGGATACAAGTTGAATTCAATTATACGTATATATTTAACAGTGGTAAAATCCAGGCTTTTAGTGTACCCATCACCCCAATAGTGTATATTGTACCCCATAGGTAATTTTTCATCCCTCACTCCCTCCCACTCCCCCTTTGAGTCTCCAGAGTCCACTATACCACTCTGTGTGTTTAGAAGACAGATTAAATAAAGTAAAGAATGACCTGAAAAGAGAAAACCTTGAAAAAGTCCAAGTAGCTCAGGCTCTCACTCACTTCCACCCTCAAATCATCTTGATCTTTTGCTATGCATCCTAAATGCATGGCATAGATGAGTTAGAACCGTCCTACACCTGGTTCAGCTAAAAGATTTTCCTATTTTAATAAAAGGAAGGATTTTATTAAGGTGTTCTGGAACTGCTTTTTTACACTGATCAGATTATTTTAGCAAAGAAAGTTCAACAGTAAGTTCCAGAAGGAAGATGATTTACATTATGACTCAGCTCTCAAGGACAAAGACAGAAATACACATATCCTTCTAGACTCTTAGAATGATAGGGATCTGAGACCACATACACTCACTGTCTTCCGTGACAGCACGCTTACACTTATGGCTAGTCATTAGAGATCAGTGACTCTGTGGGCTCCGCTCCATTGTTTGAATAATTGTTCTGAAACAATAGAGTTTTGCTTTCATTCACTGCAAGGAAAATCCTGTAGACAAAAATTACTGTCATTCAATGAACTCACAATGGTCATTAATGTAACTCAAAACCTAGTGGCATCTTCCACTGTATAGCATGAGGACACCTGGCTAAATTCTCCTCTTTAAAAGAATCTTTATTAAATAGCATTTATCTACAGTGTCAGGTCAAAGCCATTTTGTATTTAAAATATGTAATCGGCGCTATGCTTTTTAAGATTATGAGGCTTTAATACTCTTAGAGTTGAACAAAAAATATAAACACAGAAGAACATGAGATTTAGTCCCTAATCTGATTCTCAGCTTTCAGATATTTTAAAAATAATTTGTTTATATTGTCCTTTGTTTTGTTGCCTTTCCTATAAGCTCTGATCTTTGCACTGAAGTCAATGGGCTGTCATCAAAATGACAATAGAAAGCCACATTATTTAAGAAAGGAGCTTGCTTATTTTAAAATCTAAGACAGCACAATTACTAAAACTGCAGGCCTATCACTAGATAATGATAACATAATAGATGATTCAAGTACTGGTGTATTATCCAGTAATACAGGACTAAATTCAGAATTGTTTACCACCAACACCCATACTTTGTGAAAGCTACAAAAGGTCAAGAAAACGAAGAGTACATCTGTATTCTTAACCCTCTAGGCAGGAAGTTCTATCTAGTTAGATTTTAAAATAAGTAAGTAATACTGTCAGTTAATTGCTACCTTTACACTTCTTGATCCACACTCTGAGCACCACTTAGTTGTGGCCAGTTATTATTACCAAAGCACTAACAGCATAGGCACTAAAATAAGAATCTGTAGATGCTAGTGGTAAATTAAGATTTGCTCTGTGCCCAGAGGCAGGAATGAGTATCAAAAATAACTCAGTTTGAACAAGATTGATAAATAATAAATATGATATAAGAAAGTGTAAGCATTCTATTAAGTACTGTGAATTATTATATTTTAATCTTTCTTAGCTATAGAACCTTATTTCCTCCCTGAGAGAGGGGCCAAATTCAACCATCCTCCACCAATGGGCCACCTTTAGCCATTCTGCAGGTAGACAGGCTCTGCAGATATCCTTTTAGAAAAAGAATACATTGTTATGAAAAGTTTTGGAAGGCTGGGAGATAGCAGCAAGAAGCATCCTACAATGGGTAGAATAAAACTATCATTTACTAACCCTAACACTATGTTATGTCCACCTTCTTTCATAGCTACTCCAGTTATCTGAAGTTATTCAGCACAGTAGATCAAAAACAAGTTTTCTTGTATAAAGTTGGACAGGATCCAACATATCTCATGCCCTGGACAGGACACCTGTCCTCTTTGTTCCCTTCCTGACCTCAACATTAGATAGCATCTAACAAGGCTGGCAGAACAAATGGATGGCATTCAAGAGTGGAGACATGTCCATCATCAGATAATAGTTTCTAAAACTTCTAATAAAGAGTCACATCTAACTTTTTGTTGTGATGTCCTACCATTTGCATTCTGAAAGCCAGATTTTGTAAAGGTCCTAAATTAATGCTTGGAAACTTTTATTTTCCATCTTTCCCTTGATTATATTCCATGTCCATATTCTTCACAATGGTATCTTATCTTTATATGGTATCTTAATCTGATAGTCAAACGTGCAAGAATATTGTCCCCTTCAATGAGCCATAAGGGAAATTTGGGAAAGCAAGTTGTTAATGTTTGGAATCAGAACAAGATTTTAATTTAATAAGTCATTACTTTCTCTCTGTCAGCTCAATTATTGCCATTGAGATTTTCCAAATGTTGTCTAGCCTTTTTAAAAGACTTTTTATTCTTATTCTTTCACTAAGACTCTATGGCAATGTTCTCAATGTTTTTCTCACTATCACTAACCCATCACCCCAATAAAGAGCCTTTTTAGATGTTTTTTTAATCACTCTCCCTCCCTAGGAATGTTAATACCACAAAACAGTTTATCTGTTCATATATGCTAGTCCTTTGGAGAAACGCAAACCATTACAATATCTAAGATTTTTTTCATACTCTAAGATCCAATACCACCATCTTGGGGACAATACTGCCCCTCTTGGACAATGCATGCTTATTTAAGAAAAAGTTGCAATTCTGAATTTCCCAAACTAACTCATTATGATTGTCAACATTTTTTACTCTATAAAAAACAATTTTTTTATGCCTAACTACCTTTTCCTCCTTCCTAATCTTATTTGTAAGATGATTTTGACAAAAATATTGAGCAATAAGATCTAATCAAAATGTGTGTGTGTGTGAGTGTATGTGCATGTGTACTATTAGAGTAATTGCAAAATAGCTTTAACTAAAATATGAAGAAATAATAAATTCAGGGTAGTTTTTAAAATTTTGACAAAACAATGCACTTTCCATATAGCCTAGACAGATGTATAGAGTTTTAACAATGGAAACCACGTTTAGATTATTCCCTTCCAAAAAAAAAATGCTAAACTGCATAACCCCTTTTAGTCAGAATCTTTGGTTAAATGGGCAACGGTTACATACTTTTCACTTTGTGTCCTTGACTTCTTGTAACTGATACTTGAGAGGCTAAGGATTACAAAATTATGGCTATGAAGTCATGCAAATTATAAGTGGAATTTTACTCTATGCAGCTAAAAGGACATTTAAACTACAAACATGAACAAATCCTAAAAATCAGCTAGGAGAACATCTGTCCCTAGTGTGAATATTAAAGCATGAAACAAAACCATAAAAGTTGGTCTTGGGACTAAATCTTTTCTTAAATTTAGAAAGAAAACTTTGTGCCCTAACTAAGATACAGGGTTATCAAAAATGTGCTGCTGTAGTATTTTATATAAAAACACAGTTATAATGTAAGGTGACACAGTTATAATGTAAGGTGACTCTGTGGCTTCTCCTGCCACACACCTACACCAACCACTGCAGGTGACTTGTGCACACTGAAATCCACAGTCTACTTGTCATTGGAAAATATAATAAAGTTTTTTTTTTCCCTTTCAAAGTACAAAAGTCCTTCAGTCAAGCCCAAACTAAGGACATACCAAGAAAAAAAAAACTTGATAAGTAAGATGGATAGTAAGATATCCAGTAAGATGGATAATATGAATTTACCAAGTAAGACAGTCAAACGTTGCCAGCTCAAACAGTGAAACCATCAAGAATAGCTTGGTGGTCTCCCTGGGGGATGTGTTATAACTTTCAGCAGGCAAGAGAGAAGGATATTGATGTAGGAAGAAACAAAACCCAAAAACCTATGGATGAGTTCAGGTACATGGCAGAAACAGCTGCAAATTGCTGGAAACATTGGCTGCAGTGGGAATTGAAGGCTAAATCAACTTGAGATGTAGGTGGAGGCCCCAGAAAGTAAATAAACTCAACGTAGAGTCTCTGGACCCAGTGACCCAGGTGTCTTCCACAGTACAGGAAAACAAACAAGCTTGCCTGAGACCTTTCTCAGGACAGCTGTCTCAAGCTTTGCTCCATGGGAACCGCTGGAAAGCCTTCTATGCAAAGGAAACTAGCAGCAGAAGCCTGGTCTCCCTGTGGTAGAGATGAAAGCCCAGAAGTCCTTGTCTCCTGGCTTCTGAGTTTCTGAACTTCAATGAAAGTCACTTAGGGGACGGAAATGGCAATATGCTTGCTGCACATGGCCATCTCCTAAAAACAAATAATATATACATAAATTCTCACTCTGTTCCAGATACAACTGCTGGACTGAAACACATCATTTCCCTTTCCCCACTAAAAAAATAAAAATAAGTCGCTCAGAGACAGCCACTTTTGAGTCCCTCCACCTATCACAAGTTTAAAAGGTTAAGAGCCTTACCAAGGGGCGGCGCAGCCTGCAACTTTCTCCAACTCCTGGATGAGGCACCGCATCCTGGTATCAGAGACTCATTGGACACCAAAATGACTTCTCAAGGGTGCAACGGAGATGAGACACCTGACTCATCCTATCCCCTCCAGCATGCTGCGTCCCACATCCCTCAGTCCCATTCCGGAAGAAGGGGTTTTCTCAGGACTGGGGACAGGAACAAGACCTCCCTTCCCAAACAATCCATTCAGCCCGGGTTCATACGGAAGATTCAGAAAGAAAGGGGGGAAAAATCCCAGAAAGAACAATGACAACAACAGCAAACATGATTATCGTTGACATTAAAAAAAAATAAAGTGAGTCTCTTACCATCTCGCCTGAGGTTGGCGTTGCGCAAAGCTTTGATGGATGCGCTCTGCGGAGTTGCAGAAGTGTCCCGATAGCTGCAAAAGTTCACGCAGACTAGAGTGTAGACGAAGATGAGCCGGTGCATTTGGGATTAGCAACCTGGGGACAGCGTCGCTCCAAGAAAAAGCCGGGTTCCGCTCCCGGGACGGACGCCGCGCCGCCCTGCGCTCTTGCTGCCTGCGCTCGCCCAGCGTGGCCCGGGTGGCTGTGCTAATCGCCGAGCTCTCCCCAAACTTCCTGCATGCTGAACTTTCTGAGCGCGTGTGGGTGCCGCACTTCCTTGTGGTGCTGAGCTTATAAATGGGGACGGGACAAACAACAGGTTGACGTTTGTTCGCCCCCTCCGGTGGCCGGCAGCTGCAGCACAGGCTGCAGGGGGCGGGCGGCGCCGCGTCCGGCGGGGCGGGCGGGCGGGCGAGCGGAGCAGCCGCGTCCTCCCACCCAGGCGACGGCCCCGAGCGCTGCGCGCCCTCAGGCTAGGAGCGGCGGCGCGAGCACCCCGGCTCCCCAGGCCCGGCCCAAACCTGCTCCGCCACTGAGCATGCCCAGTTTGACAGGGGGCCAGGACTCTTCCCACCGCCCTGGGCTTTACCCTAGTCGGAGGACTGGAAAGAAGGCAGGAAACCAGGTGGCCAGGGGGAAGTGGGAGAGGGCAGAATCCTAGGGCTTCTCCAAACGTGACTGGCGCATCCACCCCCACACGCCACAGCGCCCGCCTTCAGGATGGTGGGATTTGGGTGACGGGGACTGGAGTTGGGAGTGTTTGTTTTACAGTAATCAAAATCAAATTCTACTCAGGCAAAATTTCACTATGTGTAGAGTGAAAAAAATGCAATCACTGAGGAGCTCAATTCTGAGCTTTCCTTTGGGCTCCAGCCTATGTGACCTGAGGTGAGTTGAGGGTAATTTCTGAGGGGGAAAAAATAACCAGTCCTCCCTACCTCACGGAGCTGTGGATGTGAGGAGCCCATGCGATGAAGTGTACTATACGTGCAGCAATAAATGTTCACTTTTTTTTTTTTTTTAATACCCCAGTCTTTCCCCTGGGAAAGGGCCACAGAACAGAGTGGGGTTGAGCAGTGACAGACAGACTGGGCAAGGGGAGGAAGTTGTCAAAGAACATGTGTCTCTTTGCTTTCACGGCCCATAGGAAGAAGCAGGGGCTATTGAAGTTTCCGGGAGCCTCCCTACTTTCAGTGTCTGGAACCTCCAGTCCAGAGCAGCTGCCTCTGGTTTCCAGGAACTTCTACATGACGCACCTGTCTCCCCAAGGTAGGCGCTATATTTGAACAGGAGTGAGTTAAGAATGGCTGTTCACTAGCTTTGTCACCTTGAGCAAGTCATTTGACCTCTTGAGCCTCAGTTTCTTCACTTACAAAACGAGAGTAGCGATTCTTAATTTTGTATGGTTGTGGTGAGAATTATATGGAAAAAAAATAGGCTATCACTTTGTAGCTGAATCCAAATCCAAATTTACATAATTTCTCAACTTCTCACTGATGAGATCTGGAAGAGAAATGTTTCCCTCTCTTTCAGGCCTTCCAGCTTCTGAAAGTCTGAGGTATGGAAAGTGATATCCATGCGTAGGGTTCTGGAAGTGGCTGAAGGGTAAGAAGTTCAGGAGAGATAGCCTTGTGACAATATTATACCATCCAATGCTGACTAGGATACACGTGTTCCTTCCACATAGTCAAAGATTAATGTGGTTCATTTCTATTGGCATTTTGGCCTAAAACATTGTTTCACAAAGTAAAAGTCTGTGGGTCCTGAAATCAATTCCAGTACCAGCATAATTTTTTAAATAAATAGGATAGCTTAGAAATCTAATCATCAGGGTTCAATGGAGATAAGCTAAACATACTGTTTCATGAATATTTTGTTTCAGATACACCAAACACACAAGCACTGCAATGTAAAAGGTATTTCTGTAGGGCGTGGTAAAAAAAAGTTTGAAAGCAACTGGAAAGACAAAATGTAATCACATTGTCTCAAAATAGTCAAACTCTGGAAGGGGCACTAAGGAGGGGCATAAAACCTGGGTTTGCCTTCAGTCATTTATTAATTTTCAACAAGTATTAATTAAGCATTAGCTTTTCCCTTTGTGACATGCTTTTGTGTAAATATCTTAGGGGTAAAATAGTGAACAAAAATGACAAGATCCCTAATGTCTTGGAGCTTACAGTCTAATGGAGGAGAGAGAAAATAAACAAGTAAATATATATCTATGTTAATTAGTGAAGGGAGCCAGAGATAAATGGGATAGGCCAGGAACTGATTGTAATATGCGATACCATTTTTTAGAAGTGGTTGGAAATGTTCATTAAATTTCAGACTTAGTTTCTGATATGAGAATATATGGAAAATGAGAAAATTTGCAAGTGGCTTATGTTATTATAGCAAGTATCAAAATGTCAGCTTATGTTATGATAAATATTAAAATGCTAAAATTATATTTTAATATCTGATATGAAATATTAAGTTTAAGGTGTTAAATGTAGTTTTGTCCATATAATCAATATTTTCTTGATCTTTAATATTAATAAATATGCAAAAGTAAAAAATAAAGCAAAAACATTAGACACCGAAGCCTAACCAATTATTTTGAACCTGGTTTTTAATATTATCTAATAATTAATTCTTACAAATTAGGTTGATTCTATCAACTAAGGTATTATACACAGAATAGATGTTTAATAAAAATATGTTTAAAGTGGGAAAGAAAATAGAATTATTTCCATTTATTTTCCCATGTATCTACATCTAACTTACCAAAACCTTGAATTTGCTTGAATTTGAACTACATTTTAAATGCTTATATAATATGTCAGTTAGAAGGACATGAGCCAACACAATGAAATCAGATTTATAAATATTTATTACTATTCAGACTAATATAAATCAACTATTCTATATTTAGTCATTGTTCAATGACATTCATATAACTAAAAAAGGTACATCTATTGTTTAGGAAAAAAAAAAACTGTGAGAGCAGCTTATAATAGATCCACATATAATGGCATTTATCCCCCCAAAAAATTTTGGCAGTAAGGATTTGATAAAAGGGCAAGTTAGGATGTGACACTATTTTTATCATGTACTCTTTTCCTTACATTAATAGGACACAAGAATAGTGTTTTCCATTATATTTTCAAATATTCTCGGCTTCTTTCACTACTTATAGAAGCTACAGTGGAAAAGAAATGAAAGGTGATGTGACCTTTTTGAGGCCTTCTTATCTCTGCAGATGGTTCACCCCAGTTTTAACTAAACTTCTGCCAGTCTTTAACTTGTAACTCATGCAGGACCTTTCCTTTGACAATAATAGTCATTTTAGGAAGCCTACTCCATTCAAAGAGGACATTCCTTTGTTGTTCATCCTCCACTCCCTGGATCTCAGAAAAAGCAAAACACCTTGACAAGACATCCTAATTTTTGCTCTGCCACTAGACTATTGAGCTTGGTGTATATAGAAATTTCATGGGACTTCAATACCTCCCTGTAAAAGAGAATTGCTATGATAGATTACCTTCAAGACTTCTTCCAGAATTCTGAATATTTTGTTTCATTTCTTAAATCTTACCTTAATTTGTAATTTTTCACCATGTGATAAATGTGTCGCTTTATCATGCCCAAATATATTTAAAATAGTTATTGTTAAAAGGTCTGGTTATATACAAGAATAAAGGGTTTCTACACAATTAATAAATTGATATTTTGAAATTACAGTAATTAACACATACTAAAATGATAGCTTAAATTGTTTATCATCTAATATTAATAAATACTTTAATTTTCAAAATTATATTTTCTTTAAATTACTTGTTCAAATATATCAGAATCTAAATAAGAACGTATTTTATTGGTAAAAATAACTAAATAGATGAAATACAGCTGATTAAAATTATGACATAAATTTAGAAAGAAGACAAAATTGACTCTGATGTTTTAAGACAATTAGTGAAATGACTTTGACCAATTATTTGACTCATAAGAACTGGATTACATTCAGTTTATTTTCAAAATTAAAGAAAACATAATGTATAGATATTTCAGGTGCCAAAGAATGAAGTTAAATATTCATAAAATGTGGTAAATTTTCTGAGTAGTTCCAAATGGCATCAATGGCCTACAATACAAGTGGTTAAAGAATGTTTTATATCAAACATATATAAAAATACATTATCAAATTATATTTACTCATCAAAAAATAGCAGACCTTTAATCAACCCATCCAATAATTTTTTTTAGCAATGAAAGTGACCCATTTGTAAAACTCTTTCACATTTTAACTGACTCCTTTGCCACATGTATCAATTTTATCCTTTTATTCTCATTGTTATTAATAGTAAAATAAGTTGTAAAAAGCCTTGTAAGATCTTTTCTTACAAGCATTACATTCTCTATGTATAAAGAGGCAGAAAATAACTGTGAAATTAAGTCTCTTTGGAGTACTGAAACTTACTGATTTATTTAACTTCTTTCAAAGCAGCATTAATTTACTTTACTTTTTAATTATAGGTGAAGGAGCCCATAACCTGAGTATTGCCTTTCTTCAACAGGTCATGACATGGAGTACTTCCTTGTTAGATATTTTTCTCTAAAACTATAACTTTGATGGCCCTAACTAAATGTTTACCATAAAAATGCATGACAATTGGTGATGTTTCTTCCCACTTAATAGAATGAAATGCAGGCCTCTTTCTATTTGAGTACTAACTTGAAGAAAATCATAGTATATACATGACAATGTAATGGTCAGTCCCGGTGTCTTTAATTTATATGGAAACTCTATTGCTTGATTGCTTATATATATAGTATATGTAGACAATTTATGTATGCAACCACCACATATTGTCTAGAATCCTACATAGTGATGTCAAATAAAATTTATCCAGCTATAATGCTGATACATTTTGAGAATAACTTCCAGCTTTGACCATTTAAGATTGGTTGTGGTTGAGAATATTAGCTTGACCTTTTGACAAGTAATAGGTCCTATCAGTCAATCGTGTAGTCTGTTCTGTCAAGCATTAGTTATCCTTTACTTTACTGAGTTAACCAATAATTCAGCTTAATTGAATAAGTCAATGAGTTATCAATTTACTGTGTAAAAAAAATCCCTATATCTATAATTTTTCTTCCACTTAGTTGCATTTTGTGTTTCCATTTACCCATTCTTGAGCTGCATTATCTTTGCTTAAAGTTTTAAAGACGAGAATATTGCCTATTCTGCAGAATTTCTTCCTTAATTGACCCGGGATATCTGCCAGACTCCTTTACATTTCTGTACTTTTATCTTTATAAGATTGGCTTACATCCAGTAACTCTCACACTTCAAGTTCTCCTCTCACCTTGCCATTTTTTTGAGCAAGCAATTGGTATTCAGGCCTTTAAATGTTCCTTTCCTTGAGTGAGAATTTTAATTCAATAAAGAAAACCTTTTCTTATATTTATGTCCTTGGAATTCTACACTACACATTTATTCTTCTTTTTAGTTGAGCCAAGGTTGTATTTTTTTGTAAGATAATAGTTAAAACTTAAGCAGT